AATAACTCCTCAGGAGACAAAGATCTCACAAAATCTGACCTCGTGGGAATAAGGGTTACCCAAGCAGAAGATAACTAATGGATAATAAACTTAACCATAGTTTAAACTCACAGGACCTACCCTTGATAAAACGGGACAGCGTGACTGAAATCTGGCAACCAGGGTGAGGAGAAGCAGTGAAACGATGTTTCTAGATGCTTAGTCACTACTCTTGTCGGTGCTGAAACGTTGTTGAATTGATTTTGGTTGTTTCTGAGGTAAGAATGAATCTTGTGTGTAAGTTAAGTTAGAGACTAAGAGGACTTTAACCATGCCAACATGCAGTTCATTCGCTAAATTGAAATCTTTGCGGAGTCAATGTATATTATTGTTACCTTAAGTACCATAATCTACATTGATCTCACAACGCTTAAGCCGAACCTACTCGAACAATTCTATTCGGGGGAATAGCTAATTCTTTTTGATAAGTCTCGCCATAGACTTCCAAAACATTTATGGGGAAACCAAACACCCAATCTCAAGTCGTTCGTCTAAAAGACAACAGACATTTGATCCAAACTATATTTTGCCATGTAAAGCTAACTTAAGCCAAGTTAGAAATGGAAAAATAGTTTGGAACCCTTTTCTATAGGTATAAACCCCTGTAGTTACCCCTTTTCAGCATGCTCCACCCCTTAACTGGTAGTTGTAGCTGTTCCCAACCATAATAGCTTACACACCAGGTGCATATAGTTTAAGGCCTTATGTAAAATCCCCTTCATAAGCCCACCTTAAACCACATAATTGCATGACACATTGAACCAGAACGGCACAGGCTGGACGTCGCTGGAGACAACCTTCGCTGGAGGCGACCTGCAATCCTGACGTTGGTCTCCGCTCTTCATCCAGTGGCCGCATCTTCAAGTTCAATCCAAGGGTACCCCTCTGTATGCTGATTAATCAACACTTCCAATCGTTGTGGATTTACCGTTGTGGATTATATGACTTTTTCCAGTGGATTACAGACTCTGTTTTCAAGGGGTTAAAGCATTGCTACAATGGAATTATCGAGACGATATGGAATTATAATCAACAAAATGGAATTATCAAGAACATTGTGGGATTACTTCTGACTTTGGTCTTCCTTGCTGGATTACTTTTGACTTTGGTCTTCCTTGCTGGATTACATCAAGCTCAAGGACATTTGAAGGTCTAAGTTCACGGTTGGAATTCATCCCCATGGACAGGCGATGATTTCCAAAGGGGGGACTGTAGTGAACCTGATCTGATCTCAAATCTTGATCAGATGAACAGAGACTGTTATTTCATTGATCTGCATCCAGAAATACAGTTTGAGCCATCTGGTGACTTTCTTTCTTGAATTAATCAAGCAGAAAAGACAATTCTCTATGATCATTACTATTTTACAAATGTTTGATAATCAAATTGTGTTAGTTTACTCAATGTTTACAGGTTGAAGAAAACTACTCATTTTTATTTTACATAAACAGTAAGTAATGATTTTTATTCCTCATTCAAAGTAGAACTCATGTTAAAGCTGTTACAGATTTTTATGCTTTTTCTGATTTCTGCCTTTGAATGAGCAAGTGTACGTTTCCAAGGTTGGAGTCAAACGCAAAACAAGTTGTTGGAACGAACTGTCATGTTTTTAGAATCCTCTCAGACGTAAATATAGAGGTTTTGGCACCTGTTTCTGAAACGCGCCAAAACAAAACTCTCTCTGTCTGTGAGAACATTTCTGATCTGTCCCATAACAATTCTTGCTGTCTTCTAACCTTTTACGTCACAAAACACACCCCGTCTGGTCGGTTCTGGCCAATGGGAATACTCCCAGATGAACCGAAAAAACAGCTCTTTAAAATGTCGGTACTTCCTGGTCTACTGAGTTCTGGGACAGTTCTGTTCAGTTCTGATGAAGATCTGAAAACTACTCATGTTCTGCTGGAGTTCTGTGAGGGTTCCACTCGGTTCGGTTGAGTTCAGTTCTGTCCAGTTCTGTGCGGAGAAGCCCAGTTCTGGGAGACGGGAAGATCCTGACATGACAACAGAGCTCTTCCGAGTCATGGGAATATAACACTTTCCACTCGCCACTACTTCTGACGAGCTACAGCCATCCTAAGGAGACGCTGGACAGGTAGCGTTAACGGAACTCCATATCTGCTGATTAATCTCAGAAAGGTAATGAGTCAAGTTTCCTACCAAGCGTACCGAGGTGAGCTGGGTTCTGATGGAGAGTGTCGGTTCTGGTGAACACTTCCCCTCACATACCATCTTTACTCCCTTTAACTTCTTTCCCATCTTTAAACTTTTCTCTCAAGTAGAAATTCTTCCAGATATTTTAGAAATGTCTGTGTAAAGTGCTCATCCACATCCGTGTGGGTAAGAGATCATAATTGTACAGTTTTCATAAATGTCTGTGGTGAAGCAACGGAAAAATCATGGCCGTATGATTTTTCCTGATTGATTGCTTATGTTGTTATTTTCATAATTTGCCAAATTAATGTAAATGTTTGATGTTAAACTTTGATTCTGTAAATAAATGACCGCATTCATTTTGATGGGTCAAATATAAATGACGTCTCACGTTTGCATTTCATTAAATTCAATGCACGTTTTATTCAGTTCAAAAAAATGAGGAATCCGCGTTAATTGATGAATATATCTGAGCATCTGTTCATCTACACTTCTGAGAGACATTGACACTCTGAGAATCTCTTTTTATACCCAATCATGTTGTCAATTGACCTAATTAGTGTTAATTGGTCTTCCAGCTGTTCATTATATGCTCAATTTACTTTTTCCAGCCACTTATTGCTACTTGTCACAACTTTTTTGGGATTTGTTGACACTGTGAAATTTTGAATCAACATATTTTTCCTTTAAAATGTTACATTTACTCAGATTAAACTTTTGATCTGTCATCTATGTTATATTACGAATAAAATATTGACATTTGCCATCTCCACATCATTGCATTCAGTTTTTATTCACAATTTGTTTAGTGTCCCAACTTTTTTGGAATCCGGTTTGTATAATTTTTTTGTCTCATATGATTAACTGGGTTCTCTTTATCTATTTTTAGGACTTGTGTGAAAATCTGATGGTTTGAGGTCAGATTTATCCAGAAATATAGAAAATTATAGAGTTCACAAACTTTCAAGCACCACAGTATAATTAATAACCTCAATTTTTGGATGTTCTTTTTTTAATCAACTTTTTGGTAGTTCAAATTCAACAAATTAGTAATTTTAACCATCTTAACTTGGTCTTCTGGGTCAAAGAACTCTTATTTATGTAGTGAGTCACGTGAGGTACGTGTCACTTATAGTATGACAAATATATGTGTATATATTTATGCATACTTTTCACGAGTTCTTCATTTTTCTGACTGTGTAATGCCGTGCATTGAATTTAAAGGAATGCGAACGAGAGACGTTATTACCTTTGACCCATCAAATGAATGGAATCATTTATTTTCAGAATCAAAGTTTAACATCAAACATTTACATTAATTTGGCAAAATATGAAAATAATAACAGACAGTTTCACAGAAAATGAACTTCAAATCACTCGGCGGTGATTTGAGGACTTTGCTTCAGATATTTCTAAAAATATCTGTACTGATTTATGAGAGAGAAGAGTTTAAGATGAAAGGAGATTATCTTACAGAGAACTGTGTGAGGGAATTTAATCTGTTTGACCAGAAGTTGCACGCTCCCATCAGGTATCTCAGCTTTGCCCACGGTACACTTGGTCGAAGAAGTCTTTACCTGGTTTGACGATGGATCAGCTCAGTAAGCATCCTTCAGACTGTTTCAGCGCCTCCGTTAAGAACAGCTAAAAATCCTCGGAGAGTCGTGCGTGGTTAGCTCAAAACAGAATTATAATCCCAAACGTCCCTGGTTCTTCATAACTCCAAACTCTCCATAACTCTTGGACTCTTCATTGCTCTGAAGCTTTCAGAACCAGCTGCACTCTCAATCAGCTCTCATTCCAACATCTCTCAGAACTCTCATTCTCTTGGAATTCTGGAATTCTGACTTGAACTGGGAAGTTGTCACATTTTTAAATGAGTTTACTTCCTGTTCAATTTAGAGCTTTCTGATTCGTGGAAGGACCAGAAAGAGGAGTGGTTTTGACGTAAGGTGTTTATCAACAGTCGAGGTCAGAGAATGAAACTTGTTTAACATACAGAAAAGATTATTGCAGAAGCAGCAGACTTTTTGGAGTCTTCTGAAAAAGTTTAAACATGACATTTCTTCTTCAGTAAACATTTAGCTGACCGAAGCCTCAACTTTCACACACTTACGACAGCTTGCTCATTTCAGACAGAAAATCAAGAAATGCATATTCAGGTGATTTCTTCTCTGAATGAGGAATAAAAATCATTACTTACTGTTTATGTAAAATAAAAATGAGTAGTTCTTTTCAACCTGTAAAGCATTGAGTGAACTAACACAATTTGATTATCAAAACATTTGTAAAACAGTAATGATTATAGAGGATTGTCTTTTCTGCTTGATTAATTCAAGAAAGAAAGTTCATCAGATGGCACAGACTTATTTAGATCAATGAAAATAACAGTCTCTGTCCATCTGGTAGATTTGAGGTCATCTGGTTCACTACATTTATTTTTCCTCTAGTTTTCCATTTATCCAGATTTTTCACGTCTGTACTGCGCCATGCTTAGAAATGTGTTTGTTTTAATCCTCACCTGTTACTTCCTTATGCCCTCAGGCTTCAGTAACACAGTCAGCTGATTCAGGTTGTACAACCACACTTTAATCATGAGAACTGGTTTAATTGTCCCATTTTAACACGCAGGATGTAAATGGAAATCACTAAAATCAGTAGTTTCGGAAAACTGGGTTTTATTTTTCATGTTTTATAAACAATATAAAATATCTACAAAGTCTACAGAATCTAATTTATACATTTTGTAAAGAAACAAAGGAAACAAAAGCAACATTTCAGTGACTTGGTGCCCTGCTGGTTCTTACAGCAGTCTCTGCTGTGGAGTTTTCCAGCCTGGACGTCGTGTGGTGTCTCGTTGAGCTCGACATGGACGTCTGAGTGGAAGCAGTCGTCTTGGCTTCTGTCTTTCTGTGTCAAACCAACACAACCAAATGTTAGCAGAAGCAGCACCCATCTGAATCACTCCCAGCTGCAGGTCGGAGTGTAAATACTGTGGTCAGAAGTTAAAACTTTACAAACTCTTACTTTTTTCTCTTTTCCAGAATGAGTTTTCCCAGGTGTGACACTGGATTGACACATTTCTTCGTATTTTCAGTTGTAATACTGGAAAGAGAAAGAAAAATGGTTAATAAAGGTTTATTCAGAATGCTGAAGCCTTTCTGGTTAAACCTTGAAGATCTAAAAAAGTTAAATCTGGTCCTCTGGACATTCATGAGCAAGCATCAGGAAACCTTGAAGATGTTCTGTGAGATGTTTCAGCCTCTGATGGAGACCAGTCTCAGCTACGACCATGCCCAGGTTTATTATGAGTTCACATCTAGTGGTTCACACGATGTTTTCTAATGCTGCAGACAACCCAACACACAGAGACGTCTCTTACATGATCTCAGTACGGGAGCAGAAGACGCTCGGCTCATAAACAGCCAGCTCTTTGATCATCCTCGGGTGGATCCAGCTCAGAAAGTTGTTAGAACATTTGCATCTGCTCGATCTGCTGGTTGGTTGCCCTGGAGAAAGAAAAGACGTGTTGGAGTTAGGAGTTATCTCTTATCTCAGCATCTCCAACAATATCGCACTCAGTCGTTCTCCAGCAGCTGCAGCAAATGACAAAAGCAGTTCCTGTGAGGACAGTTTGCATCGTACCTTGTGCACAGAGGAGGAGCGCACAGGTGAGAAAGGCAAGGCCGGCTGACTTCATCTCGTGTCGGCTGAGGATCTTCAGTCTGAAGCTCTGATGGATGAAGCGCTCGTCTTCTTTTTATAGCAGCAGCAGCCTCAGTTTCACTTTCCTCTTTCTTTTTCGTTTCCTTTGTCTCTTCCTCTTTACTTTCATTGAGTGTGTTTCCAAGAAGCTCCTCTTTCATCCAGAGCGTTGACTTACAGAATGATTTCTGCTCACACAGTGGATCTTTTGTCTCATCTACAAACCATGAAGGCACCGGCTGGGACCCAAGCATAATGGAGAGAATTCACATTTTAAAAGCCTCTGATATTTTCAGTCTCTTCTATCGTTTTGCAGCATCAGCGAACTGTTCAGTCACACACAGTTCACTTTCACACATTTCATTTACCCTAATCTGTTTTTTTATAGAGGACTTTCACGTTGAAACACAGTTGTGTCGTTTTCAAGAGACCTGTTGTACACAAAAACAAAATTAATGCATCAAACAAAATACATAAGTATAAAATGAATAATAATACAAGCATGTCAAAAACTTTCTAAGAGAAGCTACGCTGACATAAAAGTTACGACAATCGAGAAGCTCTATCATGCAAAAAAACTGAAACACCATGTTCTCCTGCTGAAGAGGAGAGGAACCATCCAGCCTGTCGTCCGTGCACAGTTCAAAGACCTGCCTCTCTGATAGTATGGGGGTGCGTTAGTGCCTGTGGTGTGGACAGCTTACACATCTGTCTGCAGGTTTTAGGACAACATATGCTCCCATCCAGTAAAAACATCCAGCAAAGAGCCAGGATTATTGAACTCCTACATCCAGACTGAAAACACATCTATTCTCCGTGCCCTTCACTCAGATTAGTACCGGACTGACTCCAGTTTTGGGGAAATTGCAGCAAATATGCAATAGTTGTCTTGGTTTTTATTAGTACTATTATTTTATTGGTATTTTACTGTAAATTGTATTATACTTTTATTTTTATTAAACTCAGTTTTATTTCTTTTATCATATATTTATCTACGATGTAATTCCTCTGAAGCACTTTGGTCAGTCAGCTGCGGTTGTTTTTAAATGTGCTATATAAAAAAAAAATAAAAATAAAAAATAAATGTGCTATATAAATCAACTTTGAATTGAACTGAACATCAGACAAAAATGGGACATTTCCTCTAAAACAGGGGTCTGCAAACTTTGAGATTAAAAAAAGCCATTTTTGCCACTCTAGTTATGATGTCTGGAGCCGCAAAACCTGCTACAACTGTGCACTGTCAACTGGTGGCTCATGGGCCACTAGAAGTTTGTTGGAGATGGCTTTTCCCACCAGTGGGGCTGATTTTATAAAATGAAAAATGTCTAACTATTTTTAACATTTATTGATATTTTTACATTTTAATACAAAAGAAAAGACCAGATTCATGTAAAGAAATAATATATATATGTATTATTATTTAAAAAAAAAAAACAATTTTATAAAAATCAAAACACTGAACTCTGCAGGCCTTCATTGTTGAAGAATTAAGTTTCCTACTTAAAGCATAAAGTTAAAGACAGTATAAAATTAGGCCATTTGTTGGATATCCAGTTACATTTTTAAAGAAAAATTAATACTTTTGTTTATTTTGACTTTGATTTTTTTTGTGTTTTGTTTTTTGAGTCATCAAATAGTCCTTCTCATCAACTTGTCTTAAAGATATTCAAAAACATTCTGGTGGTTTTGAGAGAAAGATCAGCTGTGATACTGGAAGCTGACTTAACAAAGTGGTTAACAAACTACTAGCATGATGCAGTCCACATGTTTTACACCGTGTATTTGTACTATTCTTCACATATTTGAACATGACAGGAAATCTGCTAAAACTAGCTTTTTTCATTGCTGATAATAATTTAAATAAAAGTCTTTCTTTTTTTAACTTTATTGCCTCAAAATAGAAAAAAACAACAGCAATTACAGACATAAAAAATAAATCAGAATAACAAACAAACAAACAAACAAAAAACTGCTGAGATTGGGTTCGGGAAACACCTATCAAAACAAACAGTATATACATGCTGAATCAAGAAACATACAGATTTTAGTCAAATAAAAAAGACAGTCGTGACTATCTTTGTAAAAAAAAAAATCCATTTTCATTTGTAGTTGGGCAGTGAGACGCTTCATCATATAGACGTTTCCATTTTTGTATCCACTGAGCAACAGTTGGTGAGCAGGGGTTAATCTAGTTTAGGGTAATAGTCTTTCTTGCTACTAGCAACACAATGTGCAATATGTAACATTGATCTTTAGTGAGTAAATCCTTGGGATATATGTCCAGCAGAAATAGAATGAAATGGTAGTGGTAATGTTTAAATTGGTAATGATTTAAATAAAATTCAGTTTTATGCTAGTTTTGGTCAAAGTCTGAAGGAGCCGCTGCAGAGGGACCAAAGAGCCACATGTGGCCCCAGAGCCGCAGGTTGCAGACCCCTGCTCGAAAAGCTCCAGCAGCTGCTCTCATCAGATCAGAGACAGGGGGACACATTAAAGTGACAAAGTTGACCCTGCCCAAAATCCTCTGACATGTTTTGCTGCCACAAACTTCAAAACTAAAGTGTTATATATATATATATATATATATATATATCTTACAATCTCTGAGTTTTATCATTTAATAGGTACGTTGTTTTATTTTAAATTCTGGACTTTTGAGATTTGCAAATTATTACATACTGTTTTGTTTTTATTTACATAACTGAGGTTGTAATTTAATATTGAATATGAGCTTCACTGTGTTTTATCTCCACTGAAAGTAGCTGAGGCTGTGATCAATATTAAAGCAAATGAAAACATTCTGATACTCCATTACTGTGCATTTAAAACCCATCTACATGTATCCATACACACATCCATCCATACACACATCCATCCATACACACATCCATCCATACACACATCCATCCATACACACATCCATCCATACACACATACATACATTATCTTTGCCCACTTCACTTTTCAGGTCACTGGTGCCCATATCCAGCAGTCACTTTTTGTGAGAGGTGGGAGACACTCTGGACAGGTCTCCAGTCCATCACAGGGACACATAGAGACAAACGAGACAAACAACCATTCACTCTCTCACTCACACCTAGGGGCAATTTAGAGTTACCAATCAGACTAACATGCATGTTTTTGGTCTGTAGGAGGAAACCGGAGTACACGGAGAAAACCCACGCATGCACGGAGAGAACATGCAAACTCCACCCAGAAAGGCCCCTGGACCGGGGTTTGAACCAAGGACCTGCTCGCTGAGAGGCAGCAGCTCTACCATCTGTGCCACCGTGCTGCCCGCATCTAAAACCTGCGCAGGAAGACTCTTCCAGAACCGTCTGAATAGCTGCAGAAACAATTGTAATTTTCAAATGTGTTTGGTAATTCATAAAACTCATCAAGCTGGTTTAGGAGAGGTCCATGCCTGTCGTAAAAAGTCATCTTAATATACAAACTAAACACAAGTGCACACCAGGTAACAAGAACAAAGTCCTATTTAAAAGCTAAAGTTAAGCTGATAAGTGTTTGGACAGATCAAAGTAAAACTTGTGTATGAATGACAGGAGGACGAACGTGTGGACTGAAAGAAAGCTTGGGAGAGGTTTATTCTAATGTCTATATTCTCTGTGACAGGTGGAGGCAATGTGAAGGATTGGTCATGACCTCCAGGTGCACACTGTCACCAGACTGTACCGATGAACAGACAGAACACTGCAGCTGTCAGACAATCATCTCTCATTTCATTTCTGTGTTTGTTTAAGGTGTGGCTTATTGGGTTTCATGACCGTGTGTGTGTGTGTGTGTGTGTGTGTGTGTGTGTGTGTAGGTGTGTGTGTGTGTGTGTGCGTGCATGTGTGTGTGTGTGTGTGTGTGTGTCCATACTCAGTCATCTGTCAGGTTTGATGATAACAGCTCTGTTTGTTCTTAATGTAAAATGATGTGTTAACATTTTGGCATGAAGGCAACAACGAGGAATGTTACACCTGATATCACACTGCTCCTGTTTTTTATTTGTTTGTTTGTTTTTACTTTGAATTAATACACAGGTTGATCCTGCAGGGTCCCATCCAAAATCTAAATTTTGAAAAACATGTACATTTTCAAAGGAAAAGGAACACTGAGCAGAAGTAGGACGTACATTTAGACAAAGTTAAGGAACGTTCCTGTTGGATCAAAATAACCTTGATTCATCATCAAAGACGCCACACTCGAGGACACGAGAAGATTTTTAACTGGTTTTACTTGAAAGGGCAGACTTTCATCTACAGGTTACACAGATGTATAAAACGTTCTGCATCATGGAGCCCAGTCACTAGAATCTGCAGCGGGCAGTGTGCAAGCTTGTTTTTATACTTGTTCTTCAGCTCTGGGCTCAGAGTGACCTCAGACTCCCAGCTGCACATGCAGGATCTAATAAGCTCAACATCTCAACAGTTAACATTAATAGTGATGAAACATCCATAAACCTTGACCAAAAGTCTCCCGACAGTTTCGATGTTGTCTGACCACATTCTGATACGAGGTCCAGCTCTGACAGAGCCTTGCTCCTCCATCCTCACTTCCTCTCACATTTACTGCCTTTTTCTTATGAGATGAATAACTGCCACAAAATGATGAGTTTACATTCAACCTTTTATTTCACATTTATTCACAATAACTGAACAGTACTTCATTGATTTCTATCTGTAGTCAGAACTTACACAAACATGTGTCATGGGAATGTGTATTGTTTGAACTCACCATTGTCACTGCTCTGTTCTGTGGCTGTGAAGGATATTAAACTATTCCGTGTAATAATCAGTCTTGATGTGACCGGTCAGTGAAGAGACAGAAAATAGATCATTTTTATTATCCTCAAGCTGATTGATGTGATTACAGTGATGTAAATTTGGAGAGTCCTTGAGAGCTGCTGGCTCCTGGATTCCTCTCGCTCCTGACTGCAGCTGGATTTGTGATAACAGCTGGACAGGGCGGGAGGAGCTGGGGAGCCCTGGCAGCTGGAAGGTCTATAAAACATTTTTTTTCTGTTCAGGAAGTCAGAACGGGTCAGAACCTCAGACAGGTGAAGGCATTGATAAGTGTAATAGTAAACGTATTGATCTTCAGTGGTTGCTGGCTGTTCTCCAAAGCTTTGTAATAAATCTGACGAAAGTTACGCCTGGTTGTTTTGGGAATCGCTTTTTTCCACGACACATGGTTGCTTTGTTTCATTTTGAGACTGGAAATAAATAAATAAATAAAAAATAGAAAGTTTGTTTTCTCATAACCATAAATGGAAAGTTGTGTTGAACAATGTTTTTGAAATGAGCAAAAACTAAATTGTGATAGCCACAAAACGAGAAGAAACGCAGAACACTAGCTGAAAGCTAAAACTCTATAGATAAAGTAGTAAAAGGCCATAAAATAATCAAATGTCTAGTTTGAAGATAAAAGTAACAAAAGGCAAGCTGAAAGAGGTGGGTAATAATTTAGCATTCACATAAAGGATGATCAGGAGCAGGATCTGACTGAAACATTTTAATCCGTATAATAATAGTCACGTACATTACCTCTGTACAGATGTGTCAGATTGTCTTGTTTTCCAACCCCATGTCCATTTTGTCCAAGTCTTGATCAATGTTCTTGTTGTTTTGCTGTTTTAATCAATCTAAAGGTTCAGTTGAAGAGAAAGGGCTAAGGGAACTGCAGGTGCTTCAGTTTCAGGTTTTGTTTAGGGTGAAATATTCTTTTAGACATAACTCTGTAAGTTGACTGCTATAATATTTTTTTTCAGTTGGTAAATCTTTAATTAGATTTTCTCCTAAAGAATATCTGTTGTAGTTGGAGAGGTGGAGGTATGCACTTGAAAGAAGAGCAATGAAAGTCAGTCGTAGTAAGACAGAGTACATGTGTGTGAATGAGAGGAGGAGGTGGAACAGTGAGGCTACAAGGAGCAGAGGTCAGAAGGTGCAGGACTTCAAGTACTCGGGGTTCACTGTCCAGGAAAATGGTGAGTGTGATAAAGAGCTGAAGAAGAGAGTCCAGGCAGGATGGAGTGGGTGGAGAAAAGTTTCAGGAGTGATTTGTGACAAAAGGGTGTCAGCAAACGTCAAAGGAAAAGTTTACAAGACAGTGGTGAGACCAGCTATATTGTATGGTCTGGAGACAGAGACATGGACAAAAAGACAGGAGACAGAACTGGAAGTGGCAGAAATGAAGATGTTGAGGTTCTCCTTAGGAGTGACAAGGATGGAGAAGATTAGGAATGAGATCATCAGAGGTACAGCACAGGTTGAAACAACTGGGAGATAAAGTTAGGGAGACAAGATTGAGATGGTTTGGACATGTCCAGAGGAGGGACAGTGGTTTGGACATATCCAGGGGAGGACAGTGGTTTGGACATGTCCAGAGGAGGGACAGTGGTTTGGAAATGTCCAGAGGAAGGACAGTGGTATGGACATGTCCAGAGGAGGACAGTGGTTTGGACATGTCCAGAGGAGGACAGTGGTTTGGACATGTCCAGAGGAGGGACAGTGGTTTGGACATGTCCAGAGGAGGACAGTGGTTTGGACATGTCCAGAGGAGGGACAGTGGTTTGGACATGTCCAGAGGAGGACAGTTGTTTGGACATGTCCAGAGGAGGGACAGTGGTTTGGACATGTCCAGAGGAGGACAGTTGTTTGGACATGTCCAGAGGAGGGATAGTGGTTTGGACATGTCCAGAGGAGGGACAGTGGTTTGGACATGTCCAGAGGAGGGACAGTGGGTACATTGGTAGAAGGATGTTAGAAATGCAGCTGCGAGGACAAAGACAAAGAGGAGATATATGGATGCAGTTAGAAAGGACATGGAGGTAGATGGAGTGAGGACAGAGATGGAGGAGGATGAGTCACTGTGGAGACACTGAAGAGGGAACAAAGAAAGAAGAAGAGCAAAATCCTGATGTGTTTTAACTTCAGTCACATTTCTGCAGAGACTTGTGTAGAAGTAGGAAGTGAAACTGAAACATGTTGAGGGAACCCCCGTCACAGTTTAAGCCTCCAACACCGACTCCTGATTTCATAAATATTCCCAGGTCAGTGAAATGTGCCAGGTTCAAACAAGTCATGAGTTTAAAAAAGTATGCTGCAGTTTTAACAGTTCATCTCTTAAAAATATGAATGTAACCAGGATTTTACATCATGGTCACGTACATGTGTCTGTCACTTCCTCAGTGCTAAGCTAATGAGAGGCAGACTTTAACAGACTAAAAATTAAGCCTCAAACAAACTGTCATTTGGCAAAAACTATAAATAGGAACTTAAAAAATTCATAAACAATGTGTTGAAGCAGACACTGATAATAAATTGTGCACATTTTGATGTTGCTGCATTGTCTGTACACTTTGTACTGTGGTGTGTTTCAGAAAGCGCATCAGTTCTATATTATTGAGGGACTGGGTGAGAGACGACAGGACTCCTCACATCTCAATGTAGAATTTGTGTTTCTATCGTAAAAGTTGTCAGAGTCAAAACAGCATTTGCAAAAAGTTGTTTGATTTTTTTCTGACAATCCAAATGTTCGTGTGACATCAACTTTCAGCTAAATTTTCTGTGGAAAAAAATCTTTTAAAATTATAAATCTTAAACTGTGACTTTGTAAAAACAGTAAAATATGAATATTCCAGTTCACACGTGTAAAGTCCAACTCTGCATCCTGTTTGAACTTTAAATGATGTTTCTACTGCGAAGTCTGTCTGAGCCGTCAGTCTCGTCAGTGCACGGACACCCTTAATAAAAAAACAGCTTCGACTTATGATGGTACGGTGGATCAGCTGGTAGAGCTGCTGCTTCTCAGCGAGAAGGTTGCCAGACTCAATCTCAGCCTTTGTGGTACAGTTGCATTTGGGCCCAAAAAATCCAACCTGACCCGACCCCAGCCCATAGCCATCATTTCAAACTCCACCCGACCCGATGAATTAACAGTAATTACAGGTTTGAACAGAGAAAACAAAGACATTTTTAATTAAGCTTTGACTGCTTATGTAGTTATTAACAGTCGGCGGACGTGTGCGGCTGAGGGGGCAGACGATCGGAGCTGAGGGGGTGTTTGTCATTTCATGGCTGTCAAAGTGACACAATCCTCGTGTTTTAGACAAATTTGCAGACGAGCGAGGCAGGAGTTTAAAATAAAAGTCATTTATTTTAAACAACAAAAACAAAATGCTGGCGTGGCAGCAAAAACTTACAGGAACAGGAACAGGCAGGTTAAACAGGACGGGTACAGATCACGAAGCGGACAGGCACAAAACTCAAGGAGGAGGACTGAGTCATCCATATGTCTCTCAGTTGGCCTGGGAATGCTTTGGAGTCCTCCCAGAAGAGCTGGAAGAGGTGGCTGTGGAAAGAGATGTCTGGGCTTCCCTGCTCAAGCTGCTGCTCCCACGACCCGACTTCAGAACAAGCGGAAGGTAATGGATGGATGGATGGATGGATAAACATGTTTAAGTAAAAGTTGTGTGCCTTAAAAAAGTGGCATCAGACACACCTAACTAAGGAATAGGCACTGATCATTTCAGCTCCAGTTTGTCATCAACTCCAGTTAAAATACTGTCTAGTAAACCTTGTAATGGGTCAATAGTGAACAATATTTTAACTTCCTGACACCATTTTCAAAACTTGGACCCGAGTGTCGAGCCATTTGGAGACATCTCTTGTCTCATGTCCTAACATCCATGAACTGACACATTTTAATATTACAGCAAGAATTTCTTGTTCAAGTTCAGAAGAAGCTGGTTTTCAAAGTTTTTTTAGTTCAGTCTGGATCTTTTGGGAGAGAGAATCTGTCCTACTGTACTCGATAGTCTTTCAACAGTCTTTCAATAATCTTTCAATAATATTTCAATAATCTTTCAATAATCTTTCAATAAGGCTATGGGTGGCGCTTATCTTCTGGCTGACTCTCTACGGTGAAATCCATTTTGGGTGTGTTTAGTTGTGTTGTGGGTGCATCCAGCTCATTCATGTATATACTAGAATGTCATTGGTCCAGCTCTTCTTGAAGGCTGGTGTAACGTTACCTGCCCACTTTGCAGTGATTCAGTTAACCAACTCCCTCTCACCATTTGTTACTTCAAGCTAATGAACTAATCAAAAAACACAACGTGAATGTAACTTGTAACGCATCACATTATAGAAATGCAGTGTAGTAGAAAGTACAGATACTTCATGTAAAATGTAGTGGAGTAAATGTCGAAAGTACCCATGTTTACCTCTACTTAAGTAAAGTACAGAACATGAACCTCCAACATAACTGCTGAGGATGAAGTTGCTCTTACAGCCAGTTCTGTGTTTGATATCTAAGTGTTTGTTCATATTATAGGTGTCTACAGGATTGTTATTCCAAACAAACTAAAGGTACTTTATAGTAACAAAAAATTACTCCATTCACTTGATCATGACAGTGCTTACAGCCCACTACTGTTTCTGTGTTTTCCAGAAATACTTCATTGTGATGCAGAGTGTGTTTTATCCTGATGAAAGGATCAACATGAGGTGCTGTATGTACATTATGACCACTTGAATCTCAATGTTCGGAGTTATGGTTTATCTTAAAACATCTTGTATCATATAGATATGACATTAAAGGCTGTGAGGTGGACCGGTGGATCAACCCTGAGACAAAGGCAGAACAAATGGTACAAGTACTGAAGGACAATAACTTTGACAACCAGCATATAACATTAGGTAAGAACCTCTTTCTTACACCTTCATACATTAGTTCCTGTTGTTTGCTTTTATAAAGTAACTCATTCAGCAGTAGTGGGACAAGCAAGCTCAGTGCAAATGTTTTGTGGTTGATGCAGGTCAAGAGAAATCTTGGTTTGACAGTCAAGTAAAAGCTGATACAGCCTTCCTTCGGGAACTGGACGTGCTCGACTACAGTCTCCTGCTGGCCCATCAACCTCTGCACCGAGATGAGCTTGAAGGGAAACATTCTTTGGCAAATCTTGTTCTACGCACCACCAAGTGAGTGTAACAAGCTGTACAGCAATGTTCCTCGTCACTGAGGGACTGGAAAAGTGAATGTTTGTTGCTTCTGAGATAAGTAAGTAAACCTTAATAAGTAAACTTGATCTAATCTAATGTTCAGGTGGGTAGTAGTTACACTGTATGAGAATAGAGGGGGGGGGGGGGGGGGTTCCAGCAGAGTGATGGATCCTGATGAGTGGAGGGAGAAATTTTATCCATCACCTGGTACAGAGGTGGAGCCAGGAAGTGGCCAATGGTGGCCTTGGCCTTCAGCCATCCTAATAACCACTCCAATCTTTTGTGGAAACTATTCTTTTGAGTATCCTGATTGTTTCTATGAATCAGTCCATGAATCAGGATATTTTGTTTTATTTTTACTTGTTTTATTTTATACTACTTTGGCCATGATTGCCTCCAACTAGTTTGAGAGTTTGAGCAGGCAGCAGTGGAGGGGGCAAACTATAGGAACCATGAGCACCATCCAGCTGGTTGACCCACTATGAGAAGATGCTGTTTATAAGACTGAGTTTGCTGTGGCTCCTCAGATTGATGAAGTCTTTTGAATGAAAGAAGAAATGTTTCAACAAAAATAAACCATCCAGAGGACCTGACTTAATTTTGGTAGATATACTTTTAAGTAATATAAAAACTTGAAAACATAGTTTCCTCAACTGATAGGGGTGGCCATCTTGGATTTTGATGTGGCTACCCTGTTTTTGAAACTAACCTTTTTCACGCCTTGATGCAGCCCATCCATCCATCCATCCATCCATTATCTTTACCCGCTTATTCCATTTTGGGTCACAGGGATCGCCGGTGCCCATGTCCAGCAATCACTGTGCGAGGGGCGGGGTACACCCTGGACGTGTCTCCAGTCCATCACAGGGACACATAGAGACAAACGAGACAAATAACCATTCACTCTCTCACTCACACCTAGAGACAATTTAGAGTTACCAATCAGCCTAACATGCATGTTTTTGGTCTGTGGGAGGAAACCGGAGTACCCAGAGAAAACCCACGCATGCACGGAGAAAACATGCAAACTCCACCCAGAAAGGTTCAGGCTGAGATTTGATCCTGTGAGTTTCTCGCTGAGAGGCAACAGCTCTACCAACAGAGCCACCGTGCCACTCATATTTATATTTTAAAATAATATTTTTGATTATGTCCATCAGTTTCACATTTTTTAAACTTTAAATTGAGGAAAACTTTTCACAAGCTTTGTTTTCAGATCAGCCTTTCTGCATAAGCTCCCAACCATAAATTAATTTCTTCATTTCCTGTAGGTCTTTGGATTTGGGTGAGCACCTCAATGACTCAGATCCTGCTGGTGTTCCTTCATCTACCAGCTGTGGGTCCACTAAACAGCCAGAAGCAGCTGAAGTTGTAGGTGAAGGGTTCTGCCTCCAGGAGGACAAGTGTGCTGCAGAACAAACAAGGTCTGATTCAGAACTGCAGCAGTTCCAGGATCATCATCGCAGACTACTGCCCAACTTCAAAAACACAGTTCACGTCATCGATGGGCCTGATCGCCGCTACTTTGTGGGCATAATAGACATCTTTACGGTGTATGGTTCAAAGAAAAGATTTGAACATCTTTGGAAAAGCCTCTGTTTCCATGGAAGAGCCTTTTCCACTGTCAGCCCCGCAAAGTACTCCCACAGGTTCTGCAAGTGGATCCAGGCCCACACTCAGTGACAGGATCCCAGAGAAGCTGAAAACATGCAACAACTGTTTTGTTTATTCGTTCATCTGCTTTTTATTTCCAGTTGATTTGAAAATATGTATCTATTCTCTTTATGACATGTGAATGTTTATGTTATTTTACAAAATAAAACAGCTGGATGAATATTTTGCCAAAGTGATGGTTTCATAATTATTGTGCACAAGGGCTGCTTTACTGTGAACCCATGGACAACACTGATTCACCTTTATTTGTTTAAATGTTTCCTGCTAATAGGCTGAAAAATGAAATGTGATGAAATACCATTAGAAAAATCAAAAGATATACAAAAGTGTGTCACAAAAATGAGCTTAATAAACAAACAAAAAAAGAGAGAGAAAGAAAATCAATGGGAGGAAGACATGTTTACCCTCCTGATCCTTTTATTTCCCCACATTAAAAAAAACAATTTCCTTTGGTCTTATTGACATGAAACCTTATGAATTTGTTCACAAAAGTGATCTGAACAAATTATAATTTGATGATGTCTTTCATTTTTTATTGTTTTCTTTTCTTTGTTCCTGTTCAAAATCATTAGAAATGAATTTGAGACATTAGGTGGATAAAACAGATATCAGCAGATGGACATAATTCTCTTTTGCACCCTCAGATGCATTTGTGTTTCAATGGAGACACACCTCACCAGCTTTTTGAGCTTCCATGGCAATACTAGTGGAAATACAGTACATCTCTGACAGAATATTTTCTTCACATGAACTGAAACCACAAAATAAAATATAAAGTAAAGGAGATAGATTATTACTCAGATTTAAGCATGGTTCAGTAGTAACACTTCACAACTGTAAAACCTCACAGTGGATAATTAAACTTGGTGAAAAGTAACTTTTAACCATGAGCTTTTATAAACCTGATCAAATTAAGACTTGATATTGTAACACTGTGAACAGGTTTTTGACAATCTTGGATCTTTGGTTATTACTAACAACTTCCTCAAAGTGAAAACAGATGGATGAAGTTGTTAAATCAGGTTTCCTCTCAGTTGGAACAATTTGTGTGACTCATCAGAATGGGGATTTTGCCCTGGATGAAGATGTTTTTGCAACACAACAGTCACGACCAATGAGACCAAAGACTCTTTTCCTCCATATTTCTGCTCTTCAGCCGCTCCACCTGAAAACAGGTCTATTCGGTGTCTGATGTGAATGGAGGGAAGCTCGCTCCTTACTGTTCCTACAAGTCTCAGTTGTACTCGTTCTAATATTTCTCACCATGTAGCTAATGAGGGAGTGTGATTGCTTAGCACAGTTAGATCCATAAATAGCAAAATAATTTTTCTGTATCATCTTATTATAAATCTGGAAATAAAAAAGAAAGTATTTGTGTCTGGTAAAGTTAATTATCAACCTGAAGTACAATAAAAAGGTCCCATTAGTTCAGCCTGGACAAAGACTTTTGTTCAATGTGACCGTTATGCTGAATGATAACTATTTAATCAAACTTCACTTCAAAAACGACCAGACTATTCCTTTAATGCACAGTAGGTGAAAGCCTACACAGTTTGTTGCTTGAAAACCTCAACCTATGTCTTGTCTAAGTTTAAAAAATTAGTCATCCAGATTTTAATGCTTTACATGCTTTAATCTGCAGACAAGCATGGACACCTTTTTTCCATTGGGTGAGTGTAATACACAAGTTTTTATTTAGTTGTCAACACAGAGGAGGAGGAGAAGAATAATGGCAACACCAACAGTTAAGCAGGCAGCATGGTGGCGCAGCTGGTGGAGCTGCTGCCTCTCAGCGAGAAGGTCGCCATTTCAAATCCCAGTTGGGGCCTTTCTGGGAGGAGTTTGCATGTTTTCTCCGTGCATGCGTGTGTTTGCTCCGGGTACTCTGGTTTCCTCCCACAGACCAAAAACATGCATGTTAGACTGATTGGTAACTCTAAGTTGCCTCTAGGTGTCAGTGAGAGAGTGAATTGTTGTTTGTCTCGTTTGTCTCTATGCGTCCCTGTGATGGACTGAAGTCACCAGTCCAGGATGTCCCCAGCTTACAGTGACTGCTAGACATGGGCACCAGCAACCCCCGTGACTCGAAAAGGAAGAAGCAGGCAAAGATAATGGATGGTTGGATGGAACAGTTATGCACTTCAGGTTTCTTCTTCAATTCAATGACTCTCTGCAAATCATAAATCATCAGCTGAATGGTGCATTACTGCCACCTGCTGAGTTAGAGCATGGGAAAGAGTAACAGAAACACACACAACTCTCTCTCCCTGTAGACTTTAGACCGGGATAAGTGGAAGATAGGTTGCAGGGATCTCTGTTCAGAGGAGCTCAGTCCTAGAAACACACAAACATCTGCACAGAACTTTCAAGAAGACCCTGGTCTGAATTGAAGTGGATCCACTCGAGTGGAAAAAAGTTGCTTTGCTCAGCTGATTTGCTCAGAGAAAAATTAAATGTGAAAGTGTTGGAGGATTATGCTGAAACTGTCTAATACATAAATAAAAAGGCATATAAAACCATGACATTGAAGTGGATTGTTGTAGTGAGTAAAGAAGAGCGCAGAAAAAGACGTGGATGTGCTGCAAATCATGGCCAGATGGTGCAACAAATGGCCAGAATGTCTAAACTGCTCACACAGCTGTTTTCATCGTAATAAATGAAACTTAAGGATTTGTGAAATTATAGTTTAATTATAGTTTTATCTTTCCTTCTGTTTTATCTTTTATCGTTTGTGTTTTTATCTTTTATGTTTTCATGTCTTATATTGTGTAAAGCACTTTGTGGTTTCTGACCTGTAAAAGGTGCTATATAAATAAAATGTACTTACTTACTAATATTAGTTATTAGCTTTTTCTTTTTTTCTTTAATTGAATACAAATGTAAACCAGTCACTAGGGATCACAAGTCAGTGTATCTCTTGTGCCGGTCTCAAGCTCGGGTAAATGGCGAGGGTTGTGTCAAGAAGGACATCGACATTAAACATCTTTGTCAAAACTAACATGCGAGTTCATCCAAACGACAGCATAACTCAACAAAAAAGCCACAAGTCCTGTTGACAAACAAAGTGTTGATGGAAACTGTGCTACTGTTAGTTGAAGACAGTTAGGTGGGAAACATGCCAGGAGACAGAGGGAGAAGAGGAAAGTCAAGAATGTAGTACTGAGACTGGCAACTCTAATGTGGGGACAATGACAGGTAAAGGTAGAGAGCTGGCTGACATGATGCAGAGAAGGAAGGTGGATGTTTAAGTAAGATATACATGTTAATGTTTTCATCAAAACTAAGTTAATCAAAACTTCATCAAATTCAAAGTGAAACCATACCGGATCGGTTGAGTCCCAGATTAACGACTGCCACTGGTGCTGTTGACAAACAGGGTGCCGGCAGAAACTGTGCTACTTTTAGTCGAAAACTACGAGGAGAGAAATGTGTCAGGAGACAAAGGGAAAAGAGGAAAATCAAGAATGTATGACTGAGGATTGCAACTATAAATGTGAGAACAATGACAGGCAAAGGTAGAGAGCTGGCTGACATGATGCAGAGAAGGAAGGTGCAAACCGATTCCAAAAAAGTTGGGACACTAAACAAATTGTGAATAAAAACTGAATGCAATGATGTGGAGGAGCCAACATCTAATATTTTATTCAGAATAGAACACAAATCACAGATCAAAAGTTTAAACAGAGAGAATGTATAATTTTAAGGGAAAAATCTGTTGTTTCCAAATTTCATGGCGTCAACAAATCCCAAAAAAGTTGGGACAAGTCCACTTTTATCACTGTGTGGCATCCCCCCTTCTTCTTACAACACTCAACAGACGTCTGGGGACAGAGGAGACCAGTTTCTCAAGTTTAGAAATAGGAATGCTCTCCCATTCATGTCTAATACAGGCCTCTAACTGTTCAATCGTCTTGGGCCTTCTTTGTCGCACCTTCCTCTTTATGATGCGCCAAATGTTTTCTATAGGTGAAAGATCTGGACTGCAGGCTGGCCATTTAAGTACCCGGATCCTTCTCCTACGTAGCCACGATGTTGTGATTGCTGCAGAATGTGGTCTGGCATTATCGTGTTGAAAAATGCAGGGTCTTCCCTGAAAGAGATGACGTCTAGATGGGAGCATATGTTGCTCTAGAACCTGAACATAGTTCTCTGCATTAATGGTGCCTTTCCAGACATGCAAGCTG